GAAATTCATGCTGCAAGAACAGAATTCTCAAGGCTTAGAAAAAACCTGCAAATTAACTCACCAAATTATCAATTTGGTACATTTTTCTAGTGATTAATCCTAAATCACTAAATCCCCCAATTAACACTGGAGTGACTGACAAAGAATAACAATTATAAAAGCCAGCAACCTGGTGGCAAGAGCAAAAAAGTGGGACATTTTGAGACTTGCCTAGGCACTGTGATTGCAGAGGATTACCGGTGGTTGAACTAGCTGATGGAGCCAGATATATTGTGCCAAGCAGATTACCAGAGCAAGCCATATTTATATATTTACTATCCTGCCTTTCTCCCAAAGTAAGATTCATGAAAAGATGGGAGGTTAATATTGTCCTGAGACTATCTTCTTGTTATATTTATGTTCAGTGTTTCTCACCTTTTTACTGTAAGAGTGGGCAAGCATTGTGAAACAAAAATTACAAAGAAGTCTTACTAACTTCTTACTACTTTTTAAAATTAAAAGATGTCAAGACAATGCAAGAGTTTGACTTTCCAAGAAGGAAAAAAAGAGCAAGGAAGACATTGAAACATTTCTACTAATACCACAAAATCCAGAAATTATTTGTAAGGTGGGTTTAATCCTGGTAAAATTAGATGTGATTAAATTATTACAGAAGCAAGCTGTGTTGGAATTAATTAGGTTTCTTTTTGGAGGAAACAAGAGCAGCTCTCTAACTGAAATAAACGTGATATTTTGGTGGTCACTCCTTCTTTGGAGGCTATTAAAACAGAAGCTTGATGCCCATCTGTTGGAAGTGCTTTGAATGTAATTTTCCTGCTTCTTGACAGGGGGTTGGACTGGATGGCCCATGAGGTCTCTTCCAACTCTCTGATTCTATGATTTTCCAAAAGGGTCTCTCACTTATGAGGGAAAGCCAATGTTTTATCTGTAATATTATCTGCAGTAGTGTAAATATAAATTGTAGTTTCAACCCATTCTTGCTGCCTTTTGCTTGGTGCAGCAGAGTCCCAGCTCAGCAAAAACAACAATGGGTTTTCACACTCCATAAAGTATTAATAAAGTGCTTGATCATTTCAGATTAACTCTTAATCCACGGAAGGATAAATCTGGGCAAACTTTGCTGGCTGCTGACTCACAGCGCCAAAGCCTGGAAGTCACTTCTCATTTACAGAAGAAGAAATTACACCTATGTGGGTAGTCTAATCTTTCCAAAAGAGAGGGCAATGGTATCTCTAGTGGGCTGTAGAAGAAACGGATTATTTTCAAAATATAAACTATCCATGTACTCAACTACAGTCACAAAAATAGATATACTTTATCAATATGCCTACAAGGCTAAAACTCTATGCTGACTTACTTCTTGAATCTTCTAGTGCACATGATCTCTGGTCACAGCTGTGGTTATTATCCCAATACAATGCTTTCAATCACATGGTTTTGTCTGCATGCACTTCAAACAATTGATTTTATTGTTGCTTCTGGTTTTGTATTGTGTCATTACATCCAGTAATGTATGGGGATTATGATTTATGTGTAACATCAGCATACGAAACATTACTAAGGATTCTATATGTATGGTTTGACACAGAGGAGGCCCATGGGGTAACACCATGATGATACCAACCCTGGGGCACCTCTACACTGACCACTTAATGCAGTTTGAAGGCAGCTTGGCAGTGTAGTGTTTAAATTATACACAGTGAAAATATGCAGCAAAGCACATTAAAGGGCTTTAAACTGGGATAAGAAAAGTTAGGGGATATTCCAAAACAGAGCCTGTAATGTGCACCAGTGTGCCTAAGTGTAAACCACATCACATGGTGAAACTGATTAAGAGCCACGGTTTGATAAACTGAAGATACTGCAGATCCTTGAACTGGTTACTACCATTTGATACTACTTAAACTGCCATGACTGAATGCTATGAATATGGTTTTTACAAACTCTTTATTTTTCAGTGTCAAAAAGTGCTGGTATCTCACGTGCATCCATAATCCTGAGCAACAGCAATTCAAGTGGTGTTAAACTGCATTAAATCTACAGTGTAGATATACCCTGTAAGCACACCTAGACCTTAAATCAGGACCTCACAGATAATCATTTTGTTTCACTGCTGGTTTCACACCAACCTAAGTGGCCTATGTAGATGTACCTCAAGTGGCACCACTGGGAGAAGAAGATGGGGTACACACAAAGGAAACCATACGCACCCACACAAAATGCCACATTGACTACTTTTTATGATTCTATCCTGAACGACTATGTAGCCCATTCCAACTATTAAGAGAACTCTCCCCAATCCATGCTTAAGGAAGAAAAATTTTCAAGGCAGATGCATCATGACGGTGGCTCAAATTTTGAAGAAGTTAAAGGTCTCTGGGGTTATATTTGACCCTACAAGACAGAGGCTACTTGTGCTATATCAAACTCCAACCTCCATGATTCCATAACATTGACCCCTGGCAGTTCAAATGGTGCCAAGCTGCACCCATTCCACAGTATAAATGCAGCCTCTCTCTCAGGGAGAAAATTCTTCAAGTTGGACACATGCTGGGGGCTGAAGTCGGTCTTTGGGATATTATTTGCCCCTACACAACAGAATGTACTGGTGCATTACCAAGCTATAACTCCATCATTTCGTAGCAGTTAAAGTGGGCCAAACTGTGTTCATTCTACAACGTAGATCAATGGTTTTCAACCTTCGTAATGTCATGACTCCTTAATACAGTTCCTCATGCTGTGGTGACCCCCAACCATAAAATTATTTCCATTGCTATTTCATAACTGTAATCTTGCTACTGTTATGAATCGTAATGTAAATATCCGATATGCAGGATGTATTTTCATTTACTAAAACCAATTTGGCACAAATACCCAAATTAGAATTCTGGTGGGGTTGGGGGGGGGGGGGTTGATTTTGTCACTTGCGAGCTGCAGTTGCTGGGATTTATAGTTCACCTGCAATCAAAGAGCATTCTGAACTCCACCAACGATAGAATTGGGCCAAACTTCCCACACAGAACCCCCAAGACCACCAGAAAATACTGTGTTTTCTGATGATTTTTGGTGACCCCTCTGACACCATCTCATGACCCCCCCCCCCCAAGGTCCCGACCCCCAGGTTGAGAAACACTGATGTAGACGCATCCTCTCTCTCTCTCTCTCAAGGGTGAGTTTTTCAAGACTCATGCTGGTGGGTCATGTTTTTGAGAGGTTGTAGGCCTCTGGGATTATATTTGAGCCTACACTACAAAGATTACTCGTGCCTCAAAAAGCTACAGCTGCCCTTAGTCCATAGCATTGAGCCCTGGAAGTTCTAGCAGTGCCAAACTGAATTCATTATACAGTGTAGAGCAGGCATGGGCAGGTGGAAAACATCTCACCATGTTAAAACAGTGGATATAGCTCTTAATGAGACATGCCACAGGATGTCTATACCCCACACCACTGGAGAATTTACACTGTTTAGCTCGTATCGCACCACCTGACATTTGCTGGGAAATAGCAGCCAGCAATGAACGGACCAAGACATTGACATCTTCAGCCCATCCTCTGTTCAGTTATGTGCCAGAATGCCAACACCTTAAATCAAGAAACAGCTTGCTAAGACTTACAGAGATACTCGCAGGAGCACCTCAGCAAGCAAGAGTCCTAAAGCGGCAGGTGAAAACCCAGTACCTCAATTAGTGGCTGAGACTAGATGAGAAACTCCCTCCTGGGCAAAAAGAAGAGTGGACGACCTGGAAGGTGCTGAACAGACTGCACTCTGGCACCATAAGATGCAGAGCTAACCTTAAGAAATGGGGCCATGGCATGTGAGTGTGGAGAAGAACAGACCACAGACCACCTGCTGCAATGCAACCTCAGCCCTGCCACATGCACAATGGAGGACCTTCTCACAGCAACACCAGAGGCACTCCAAGTGGCCAGCTTTTGGTCAGAGGACATTTAGTATAATGTCAAGTCCTTTTTAAAATATACTCTGTGTTTTTAAATGCATTTTAACTGTACCCTCTACTTGCATCTGACATGATAAATAAGTAAAGGCTGCATTCATTCTACAGTGCAGATCAGCAGGTTCCAAACACCTGGGGGATCAAAGTTTGGGAACTGCTGATCTAAACTGTAGAATGAATGCAGTTTGGCACCACTTTAAACTCCCATGGCCCCTTGTTATGGAATCATAGAATCACAGAGTTGAAGGGACCTCGTGGGCCATCCAGTCCACCTTCCTGTCAAGAAGCAGAAAAATCGCCTTCAAAGCACCCCCAACAGATGACCATCCAGCCTCTGTTTAAAAGCCTCCAAAGATGGAGCCTCCACCACACTCTGGGGCAGAGAGTCCCACTGCTGAACAGCTCTCACTGTTAGGAAGTTCTCCTAATGTTAGAAATGAGATTCTGGTGGGATCACAAAGCAAAGAAGGACTTCAGATATGGGGAGCATAACGGGCATCATAATGAGGGAAAGGAGAAGAAATTATTATATGAATTTTAGAGATGAATGGAAATGTAATAAAAACTATTGAGAAAAAAAGGAAGTTCTCCCTAATGTTCAGGTGGAATCTCCTTTCCTGTAGTTTGAAGCCATTGTCCCCAAACTTTGATCCCCCAGGTGTTTGGGACCTGGAACTCCTAGCAGCCCAGGTGGCCAACTCCTAGCTTGGCCAACAGGTAGGAACTCTGGACGTTGATGTGGCAAACATCTGGAGAACCAAAGTTGGGGAACTGGTGAGCTGGTGTCGATGCATCTCTCAAGGGAGAAAGTTCTTCAAGTCGACTGGTTTTGGGGAGCCTGGGCTATATTCCACCCCAGAGGACAGAGCGAGGAGAGGAACTAAACCAGGGGAAGGCCTTGGTGGGGTGAGGCAGGGTGCCCCTCTCCCCCAAGGAGAGTTGGAGCTGCTGCCTTCCCCCGGGCTGTGCGCTTCCTCCTTCCTCCCTCCCTCCTTTCCAAGGCAGAGAGGCGGGACCTGGGGCGCCTTGGCTGCCCGCCCCTCTCCTCCAGTATCCTAAACCAGTTCCCAAGCCCTCGGGACCAGTCCAGCGGGCCGGCCGGGAGGGAGAGAGAGAGAGGGAGGGAGGGAGAGAGAAGGGAAGAGCGGAGGGAAGGCAGCCCCTTCACCTCTCTCCCCAAAAGAAGCACAGCCTCTCCAAGCGCGCCCGGCTGCACTATGCGGGCGCCTCGGACTCTCCTCCTCGGCTTCCCTCGGCTCCTCCCGATCCAGTTGTCGCCGCTGCCGAACCCGGGACGAGCCCAGCTGGAGGAGAGGGATCCTCACGTTGAATAAAGGGAAAGTGAACTTGCGGGGAGAGGAAGAGGAGGAGGAGGAGGAGGGGAAGGGGAAGGTGTGGGAGGAGGAAGGAGGAGGAGGAGGAGGAGGAGGAGGAGGAGGGGGCCAAGCCGGGAAGGAACAGCTCTCTCCCTCCCTGTCTCTGAAGTTTGGGCTCCAGCTGCCCTCCCCTGTCCCCTCCCCACGAAGGCGAAGGAAGGGGAGACGAGAAACCACTTCTTCTCCTTCTTTTGGTGGTTGCAACCACCATGCAGCTGGTCTTCTGGGCGGTGGGATTCAGCACGCTTTTCCTGCAGGATTTCTTGGAAGGAGCCGGCAGGAAGCAGCAAGGACAAGGTAAGAGGCTGGCTCAGTGGCTTTGCAACCAGGAAAGCTCCCAAAGGGGATTCTTGAGTTGGAGGGAAAGTTTGGCACTTCTTTGCCCCCCTTTCCCCCTTCCTTCTTTCCTTCTTTCCTTCTTTCCTTCTTTCCTTCTTTCCTTCTTTCCTTCTTTCCTTCTTTCCTTCCTTCCTTCCTTCCTTCCTTCCTTCCTTCCTTCCTTCCTTCCTTCCTTCGAGGAAGAGAAAATGGCAAGCTGTCTCCAAGGGCGCATCTACACTGTAAAGTGGAGTCACTTTGACACCGGTGGGATCCTTAGAGTTGGACTTTTAGTGGCAGAGAAGGCGAAATGATCATGCTGGCCTCGCTGCCAGGATTCCAGAGCACTGTCCCCGGGCAAAGTGGTGCCAAACTGTGTCCATTCCAGAGTGTAGACGCGCCCCAAGCCTCCCCGCTCTCCTTACGGCCCCGCCTCCCGAGGTAAGCTGAAAGTTTTGGGCCCAGAGTGGAAACTAGTTCTCCAAAGTGCTGAAGAAGCCAAGAACTGTGTGCCATGCGTTGGTGGGCCTCCCCTTTGGCATTTGCATTTCAAGTCAGCAGCAAACTTTTCCATGTTGGCAAGGAGGCACAGTTGAAAAGTGCAGTCTGCCCTGCCTGGGGGAAAAAGATCTTTTGATGGCTTATGGGGTGTTAAGATGCTGTTTAATTGGTCTGCTCCTAGGGCATTCTAGCTTGCTAGGAGATAAGCTCAGTGCCTTCATCCCTGGGCATGTCTGATTGTAAGGATGGCAAAGCTGTATTGGCAATCCCACTTGAGTTTGAGTTCTGTTCTGGAAGTGTTGCAGGGTGCATGATTTCTGCCGCTCGCTACCGCTCACTACGCTGAGGCATGGTTACATAAGGGCAAAAAAGTTATTCTCAATTTGTTGGAGGCACTTTCTGCACCACTGATCTAAACCAGTTAGCTTTCTTATCTCCCCGGCTATCTGTTTGTATGCCTATTACAGCTACATAAAAGAATAAGATGACTGGGGGAGGCTAATGAGCAGCACTTTGGAGAAAGATCCCTTGCATCTGAAGATGCCTGCCATAGATGTGGGCAAAATGTCAGGAGATAATGCTCCTGGAACATGGCCATATAGCCCAGAAAACTCACAGCAACCCACTCAGGAGAAAAATCATCCAGTCTACAGTTTCAAGCTAGATCTTCCCCCAGTTGTTGGCTGAAGTTGAAGAGATGGCCCAATTTTGGTTCTTTTGCCTGCTATTGTCTCTCAGGATAGGATAATATCAGATATGTGTTGTTGAATGCTTTCATGGCCGGAATCACTGGATTGCTGTGAATTTTCCAGGCTGTATGGCCATGTTCCAGAAGAATTCTCTCCTGACATTTCACCCACATCTATGCCAGGCATCCTCAGAGGTTGTGAGGTCTGTTGGAAACTAAGTAAGGGAGGTTTACATATCTGTGGCAGGTCCAGGGTGGGAGAAAGAATTCTTGTCTGTTGTAGGCAAGTGTGAATGTTGCAATTAATCACCTTGATTAGCATTGCAAAGCCTTGCAGCTTCAAGGCCTGGCTGATTATTTGTCTCCAACAGACAAGCGTTCTTTCTCCTACCCTGGACCTTCCACAGATATATAAGCCTCCCTTGCTTAGTCCCAACTGACCTCACAACCTCTGAGGATGCCTGCCATAGATGTGGGTGGAACGTCAGGAGAGAATGCTTCTTTAAAATGGTCATGCAGCCCGGAAAACTCACAGCAACCCAGTAATATCAGATAGTTTGCACACTCATGTATTTATCCGCAATGGTGTGTGTTACCTCTTCACAGCTCAACTGCTGGAGACTCTGAGCGAGTACGAGATCGTGACGCCCACCAGGGTGAACGAGTTTGGAGAACCCTTCCCTACCACAGTCCACTTTCAAAGGAAGAAGCGGAGCCTTCGCTGGGACACTGAGAGCCCGGATGCTTCTTCCTCCTCCTCCTCCTTCTCCTCCTCCTCTTCTAGTACCACCCAAGCACACTACGAGCTCACAGCCTTTGGGCAGCACTTCTTTTTCAACCTTACAGCCCATTCAGGATTTATCGCCCCTCTTTTCACTGTCAACTTCCTTGGAGAACCTGAGGTTAACCAAACTGACTTTTACACTACGGAGCAAAGCAACATTAAGCACTGTTTTTATAAAGGACATGTCAACACGGATCCCCAACACATGGCAGTCATCAGCCTCTGTTCTGGGATGGTAAGTGCTTGTCTCACTGTTTGCTGGATTCAGTTTCTTTGCTTCTGCCTTAAAAGCCTTATCTTTCTTTTTAATCCTCAACTCTTGAAGTTGAACCTCCCTGRGAGATCTGGAATCACATACCACAAATATCCTTGTCCCAGTTTCCTGTGGCTTTCTTCATATTGGAGGGATGCGGGGGGGGGGGGGGAGCATATTCAAATACAGTATGACCTCAGTATATGCGAAACCAATACCCACAGTTTCACTTCCTCAAAATAGGTTATTTGTAGGTCTACGGTAGCCCTATGCCATAAGTCCTTTGATTCGATAAAGTTTGCTATTATCCTCAGTTTTGGTTGCTGTGAGTTTTCTGGGCTGTATGGCCATGTTCCAGAGGCATTCTCTCCTGATGTTTTGCCCACATCTATGGCAAGCATCCTCAGAGGTTGGGAGCCCCTGGTGGCACAGTGGGTTAAGCCCTTTTGCTGGCAGGACTGATCACTTGGAGGTTGGGTTGCTGACTTGAAGGTTGCCGATTCAAATCCAACCCGGAGAGAGCATGGATGAGCTCCCTTCTATCAGCTCCAGCTCCATATGGGGACATGAGAGAAGCCCCCCACAAGGATGGTAAAAACATCAAAAAACCATTTGGGCGTCCCCTGGGCAACATCCTTGCAGACGGCCAATACTCTCACACCAGAAGTGACTTGCAGTTTCTCAAGTTGCTCCTGACATGGAAAAAAAATCCTCAGAGAAACTAGGAAGGTGGAGTTTATATATGTGTAGAATATCCAGGGTGGGAGAGAAAACTCTTGCCTGTTTGAGGCAGGTGTGAATGTTGTAATTGATCACTTTGATTAGCATTTAATAGCCTTGCAGTTTCAAGGTCTAGCTGCCTGGGGAAATCCTTTGTTGGAAGGTAATTACCTGGCCCTGAGAATGCTTCTGGAAGATGGCCATACAGCCCAGAAAACTCACAGCAACCCAGTGATTCCAGCCAAGAAAGCTTTCAGCAATACATCCTCAGTTTTGCTCCTCCACACAAGTCCAGTGACATATCCCCTGCAGACATTGGGGTCATACTGTAAAGCAAGACAGTTCTCTCTCTTAAAAGGAGTCTTGTAGTGCTGGCTATCAAAGCTGTCTACTTTCTCCAGACCTCCCCACTCTTGTCTGAAAGTTTTCAAAGTACTCAAGTGAACGCATAGTATCTCCCTCAAAGCCAAAGTCAGGGAATCATAATTGAAGTCCGTGGCAAAAGCAATAGATCATGAATCAAAGGCTTTGCTCTTAAGGAGGGCTCGCTTTGATTGATGGGAAGGAGGGGGAATAGGGGAGGACCGGGGAGTGGCATTAATGAACAAATTCAGCATTTTCCTCCAGAGGTCATTAGAGGCAGGTACTCTTTTCTTCACACAGGGAGACTCTTAACAGGGGTTCTCTGACATGAGGCTAGCAGTGCAGTGGGAGCGGAAACAAGGAGGTGGGATTACCCCAGGCAGCTTTTCAGGGGAGGGAGGGGTGGGTTGGGAGGAGGGTCTCCAGTCAGAACCCCAAACAAGGGTGGTGCTTTGAAGCATGAGAGCCATTTAAGGTGGAGGGAGTCAAACCCCGAAAGCGTGCTGTTTCTTGGCTTCTCCCTCTAGTGATATGAAGTTGGCTTTAGAGTAAAGAGTCTCTTCTTGCCCTCAGCTGACACTCAAGTGGAATTTCACAGCAATGGGCCCTTCCACACAGCTCTATATCCCAGAATATCAAAGCAGAAGATATTGTGGGATTTTTCTGCCTTGATATTCTGGGATATAGCGCTGTGTGGAAGGGCCCCCACTTCCACTCTTAAGGTTTTTAAGACTACGGGGCTAGTCACACCTATTGCTGAGGTGTGACTCTCAGTGATGATAAATAATGAATATTATTCCATCTACGTCTCTGGGGGAACCTTTCAAAGTATGAAAAGCCATTGAATTTTTTTTTTGGGTTGTCACATTACAGTTAAGGGAGCACATCCTTTCTTCTAACTTTTGGGAACTGCACGAGAGCCTCTATGCCGAGCATGGGCAAACTTTGGCCCTCCAGGGATTTTGGACTTCAATTCCCACAATTTCTAACAGCCTACTAGATGTTAGGAATTGCGGGAGTTGAAGTCCAAAACACCTGGAGGGCCAAAGTTTGCCCATGCTTGTTCTAAGCTGACAGTTTCAATAGATTGTCGAAGGCTTTCATGGCTGAAATCACTGGGTTGTTGTAGGTTTTTCGAGCTATATGGCTATGTTTTAGAGGCATTCTCTCCTGATGTTTCACCTGCATCTATAACAAGCATCCTCAGAGGTTTTGAGGCCTCTAGAACATGGCCATATAGCCTGAAAAGCCTACAACAACCCAGTTTCAATAGCTTTCAGCCCCAACTGAACAGCACATGACACTGCATTCTGTTGTGCATATATAAGATCCTTCCTGCAAATCAAACTGAGAGGAAAAGAAGAATGTGTCCTCTCATCTCTGAACCCCCTCATGGTCCCCTCTGTCCCAGAGGCAGAGATGCAAGAAGCTAAATTTAGCCAGTACTTACCAGCCAGGCAAAACTGAACTCTTGTTGGGGTTCTCAGTGGTAGTGCCCTACAGGTAGCACGGCAAAAAGAAACCAAAGAGGAGCGTGGGGACAGAAAACCCAATTCCGCCACCCCAAAACCCTCTTTCGTTCCTCCAAGGTGCTGCTTGCGCAGTAGTTAAAGCAACCCTCAGTGCTTGTTGTTGTTGTGATGTTCTGGCCTTTGGTGGGCGGAGGCAGGGAAGGAGGAGGGAGCCCATGGTTGTGTAGAGAGAAGCAGCAGGAGGGTGGGAGTATGTTATTCCAACCCTCCAGGCAAACATCATGTTCCTGGGCTGGTCAGAGGAGGAGGGGGAAGAAGCATTCACACCCACTTCCTCATGGAGGAAGCACTGACCCAACTTGGGCATTCTGCCTTCTTGCTCAGATCGACCTTAAGGGAGTTCAGGAACTCTGCAGTCCTTTGCCTGCTGGAGGCTTAAGGCGGAAAGGAAAGACAGAAATGTCAAAAAAGAGGTCTTACCTCCATGCTTAGGGAAAACAGGGATTGGGAGAGAGCAGGAAGCAAAAAGAGCAGGTTTGTTATGGGAAAGTTTCCTTTAGTGGCAAGAACCTTTAGAAATATGTAGCTGTTTTGCAATCTCTCCTGGCCAGTCCCTGTAATTTCCGAGTTTTTAATTGAGCTCCCCCTGCCCCCCCCCCCCAGTGGTGCAGAGGGTTAAACCGCTGAGTTGTTGAACTTGCTGACTGAAAGGTCACCAGTTCGAATCTGAGGAGTGGGGTGAGCTCCCGCTATTAGCCCCAGCTTCTGCCAACCTAGCAGTTTAAAAACATGCAAATGTAAGTAGATCAATGGGTACCGCTCCAGCAGGAAGGTAATGGCGCTCCATGCAGTCATGTTGGCCACATGACCTTGGAGGTGTCTACAGACAACGTTGGCTCTTCAGCTTAGAAATGGAGATGAGTATCAATCCCCAGAGTTGAACACAATTAGACTTAAATGTCAGGGGGAAACCTTTACCTTTACCTTAGGTATAAGACCCAGAATTATTTTCTGGATGGGAACATGCATCTTGTGAAGAAAGAATGTTTCCTTCAACTGTATTCTATTCTGTCAGTTTGAAGGTACAGTAGTAATTGCTGCTTCCTGGGCATTGTTGTGATTGCACACCTTCAAGTTGTTTCTGATATATGTCTACTCTAAGGCAACCCTATTATTGGATATTCTAGGGTTGAGAGTGTGTACCTTGCTCAAGATCACACAGTGGCTTCCATAGTTGAGTGGGGAATGGAACCCTGGTCTCCAGAGTTGTTATCGAAAACCCAAACTACAGCTTTACAATAGCTAGTTCTACATCGTTTTAGATACAGCTTGTTTTAGAAGCTAACTGAAAAGAGACTTCAACATTTCTCATTTCTTGTTTCCTACCTTGATTGCACCCCTTTGTCTAGTACAGTGGTTCTCAACCTATGGGTCCTTAGATATTTTGGCCTTCAATCCCCAGAAATCCCAACAGCTGGTAAACTGGCTGAGATTCCTGGGAGTTGTAGACCAAAACACCTGGGGACCACAGGTTGAGAACCACTGGTCTAGTAACTGAGTTATTGGTAGAACACTTCAGAAGATAGTTTAGTCCTGTTTGGTTTGGAAAAGGCCATCAGGAATTCAGAGAGAGGAATGACAAACAAATATCTATGCGATAATGTGCTTCCTTGTGATAGCATGAGGAAGCACTAAGGCCATTTCCTGCAGTGTGCAGAGGCAAATTCCGGTGGTTTTTTTTTTAAAAAAAAAAACCCACTGGAATACATGACATAATATGCATTTGACCAGGGTTGAACTCATATAGTGCCCCCCAAGGTTGTTAAACTGCACTTTCTATCTGTCCTGATCAGCATATTTCATGATAAAGAATGCTAGGAGCTGCATTCCAACAACATCAGGAAAGCTTCATGATTTTAGTCTTGACACTACAGTATAAGATTTATTTATTTATTTATTTAGAACATTTATATCCCATCCTATTCTCGACCTCCGAAGAGGGACTCAGGGCGGCTTCCAACAATATAAAAACACCAATAAAATACACAATTACATAAAATGATAACAAATATACATTAAAAAACAGTTTGCCAAGTTTAAAACATGCTCCAAATCAGTCCAAAAATGCGGTCCATACAATTTCATCTAAGCCAATAAAAACCGTCTATTCTGCGAATGCTTGCTCCCACAGCCAAGTCTTAAGTGTCTTGCGAAAAGTCAGGATGGAGGGGGCAGATCTAACCTCTTTAGGGAGGGAGTTCCACAGCCAAATTGAGACAATTGGCCAAAGAGAAAGGTGCAGAGCAGCTTTTCTGCGTACCAAACATTCAGTGCGTAAATTTTGGGTTCTCAGTACAAAATTTAGAAGTTGATCTCTTGATTCTTTTGTAGCTTCTTTCGTGTACTTTCATTACAAGTTTTATGATGTTTCCTTCCTTCCTTTTCAGCTAGGCACATTCAGATCTCATGCTGGAGAGTATTTTGTCGAGCCCCTCATAACACCAGGCCAGCAAGAGTATGAAGAGGAGCACAAAAAGCCACATGTTGTCTACCGACGCAGCTTACCCCCAACATTTCGGCCAGAAAACAAGCAGACTTGTGACACTTCAGGTACTTGAGATTTGGATTTTTCCAGGCCTTTGGTCTGGGTGTGGAAAAAATAAAATAACTATGCATGAGACGCCATGTGGTATGGAATCTTACATCTGATATGAAGTCGTGTTGTAAGTGGACTGTTTCTTCTTTTATGTACTCTAAAAATAGCTTCCCAGAATTTAAAACCTGATACCACTGTGTGATTGTGATGGCTTTAGGCTTTAACATTATTGATTACCCTAAGGCAAAGTGCAGCCACTTTCAACTCCACCTTTCATCCCTTGTGTTTGAATATTCTTTTTGTTCCACCCTGCTTGTGTCTGGAAACGTGCCCTCTTTCTCCTTCAAACAGGAGTGCAGACTTCTGTGATATTCATCTGAAACTTCACCCTACAACTGTATGATCCTTTGCCACAAATATTCTTTTGGAACAAAGTCCAGCGCCCTTCCACACAGCCCTATATCCCAGAATATCAAGGCAGGAAATCCCACATTATCTGAGTGTGGACTCAGATAACCCAGTTCAAAGCAGATATTGTTGGATTTCCTGCCTTGATATCCTGGGGTATAGGGCTGTGTGGAAGGGTGCTGGATTTTGTTCCAAAAGAATATTTGTGGCAAAGGATCATAAAATTGTAGGGTGAAGCTTCAGATGGGTATCACATAGTAGCCACTTCCCACACTCCAAAAGGTTCCCTAATTCCTCTATGGCAGGCTGCAGGGAGAAGACTGACCATAGGAGTTGCAGTTTTACAAGGTTTTTAACTTTCACTGCCAAAGAGTGATCATGCCTCACCAAATTACAAATCCTAAGATTCCATAGCATTGAGCCATGGCAGTTAAAGTGGTGTCAAACTGCATTAATTCTACAGTAAAGGTGTAACCCAAGTCCATGTCTGCTAATTCCAATCATTTCCTCAGTGAGCAAAGTAAATAATTCTCCTCACTTCCCAACAAAACTTGATTTTTAAACTTGTTTAATTACCTTTTAAAAATTAGGTCCCCCCCCCCCCTTGTCTTATGGATCTGAAAACCCATAATTTGGCCAACATTGAGAATAATGTTACAACTAAAAATGCCTGTGAAAAATCTCAGGATTAAAATAGGATTTCAGGAAGGAAAATAGTGTCATTGCAGCTGTTCTCTTTGCTGGTTCCACACAGGCACAAAATGTGGCTCTGAACCGGCATGAAACAGTTTAGCATGGTTGGGAATGGGCCTGGTTTCCACACATCTATTTCTACACCAAACAGAGTGAAAGTGGGATATACCCGATCTCCTGCCTGTTGACTTCCTGGTCCCTGCCTTGCTGGTCACTTGGAGAAGGACCAGGAAGTAGAGCTGCCAGAGATCAGGTACTTCCCATTTTTATTTGGTTGTTGTTGGTGGTGGGGGCAAAGAGCAGGAAGGGCCACCATCCTTATCCCCACGCTGCCTGATCCCAGGGAGTGTGAGATGACTGTTGGGACACCATCCGATTCTACATAGGTTTACACTGCTTCAATACAGGGAAAGACTCAGGTCCTGCTGCAGGGTTCAGATTTTCCTCTGTGGTTTTTAAACACAGGCTGCAATTGCATTACACAGTTTACCCTGGATTAAATGGCATCAGCCTGCATGTGTTGCATAGACAGCTGCAACCTGATGAGACCCTACACCTGATGAGACCCTAAATGGTATGTGTAGAGTCACCCTTAGACTCATAGAGTCAGAAGGGACTGCAATTGAGAAGAATGGTCAGCATTTGCATCATTGTTAAATGAGGGATTTGGCGCAACCCTCTTGGACATCCATAAATGTGTAAAAGGTTTGCCTGAACTCTCCATGTGTCAGAGGTAGAAACATTATGTTGGCACATAGCCAATGAGGCTGTGTGTTAGTAGTTCTCGGGGGCAACGAATCAAGCAGTTACCTTTGCTAATGTGTGTGTGACAGAAGACACATCTACTCATTTTCTCAGAGAAATGTAGGCTATCTTGTATGTGACATATTTGCATTTCTGCCCCCTTCCCTGCTGTGACTTCCTTCCTGATTCTAAGTCATTCCCAATTCATTTGATCTTGAGGACAGGTAATCATTTATCTGTACCTTCCTGTGTGTAGAAAAGCCTCTACATTGTTTATCAGCATGATGTGCTCATTTATGGTGTGAAGTGGAGGAAGGAGTTCCATCCCTGATAATCTATGTTGTGTGGAGATAGTAGCACTAAGATTATCACAGGAATTGTAGTCGTCCTTCCACATTTGTGGGTTTGACCTTTGTTGATTTGATAATCCATGCATTTGATTAAAAGGTTCCCATTAGGAATCCCTAGGACCTCAAGTGTAACTCTATGGTCAGCTTTCTTCTGGTCATGCTGGAGGACCTAGAGAGAACATCTCTCTAGTCCTCCAGTGCAATTCTTTGGTTAGCTCCCAGTAAAAGTTGACATAAACATGTGCTGGAAGATCTTGAAATTCCTAGAGAGGTGTTCTTTTGGGTAAAGAAATATCAATTTCTTTATTCACAGTTGTTCACTTTCATGGGGGTTCAGTGCCCCTAGCCCCTGCAGATGAGAAGGGCTGACTGTATTAGGAGTGATAATGGGAAAGGGGGGAGTGGGACCTGAATTGACTTCCATACAGTTGTAAAGAGAGGTCTTTTAAATCCTACTTGGTGATTCAGGGGAATTGAGAATGGATGAGAGAATGGTACTCTCACAAGGTTTTTATTGTTTGTTCTTCCAAGGGTTGCTGCTGGACTATGCCACTCTGGTTTCTCTCTTCCAGCTGTCTCTGCTCCCTTCTTTGAGATCAGATGCAGGAGACTCAGAACAGTTGGAAAGAAACATGGGATCTGGCACAATTCATCAGCAACCCTTGGAAGAACGCATCTGTGGAATGTGAAGCTCATGGACTCAAAGGTAGTTGAAGGATCTTGAAAATCATTTAGTGATTCCTCTGCTTTCCCCCTTATCTCCTGCCTCCTTTTGCTATCTTACCTGCCCCAACATCTGGAGAAGATCATGAGTGCTGTCTTATTTTTTTAACCAGAGGGATGCTTTGCCCATTTGTTTCTTTGCTTGATTTTAAACTTACCAGGTTGAATCTAAGAATGCCTCTCTTTTCCAGAACGTCTTTCCCATCCTTATTCAACTTCTTTATGAGTATCCAAGTCTATATTGTTGTGCTGGTGACACCTTGCCTTAAAGATGTATGAGAGGCACCCCATAGGTGGCATGCTGCTCTGCTCATATTCTTCTGTTCTGACCTTTCTATTTGAGTGAGCGGCTTGCTCCAAAAGCGATGGGGTTAGTTGGGGGAGGCACTGACTATTGTCAGCTCCATCACTGGACTTTGGCTTGCCGCAGTCCTTTTGTGAAGGCTGACTTCATCAGTCACAGCCGCTGGCCAACCAGAGAAAAAGAAATAATCTCATTGCCACTTTGAAGCTCAGCTGTATTCCAGAGAGACACTTGGGTTTGCTTTCATGGCATTACTGGAACAAACAATCATTTACACACTACAACTTAGCGGCAAGGCTTGAGTAGCTAAAGAATAAAATTGCAAAGACGGAAAATACCTTAAAGCCCTGTTAGTAATAGTTAAGCTCTGTGCAACAGAGAAGAGTTTATTGTAGCTTAACTGGAAATGAAGATTTCTAGGATACCAGCATCCAGGAAATATTTCTTAAATGTATTGGCATAGAAGAGTAAGTGTTCCACAACCTTTTTTCTACTTAGGGGGCCTCAGAAATGTGATTTGCCTTGGTTTGGACTACACACTCATTCTTGAAGTTGTTTCTTTGAACTTCTTCTTTCCAGAGGTGGATTTACCCTACCCTTTTTTGAGTTGATTTTAAAGAAAGATTAAATGTTTAAGATTTTACAAGATGGCCTTAGGACACTGATTTTTCTCCTTGACCTTTTACTGATTAAAGTGACTAAATAAATGAAGCAATTGTTACACAAGATAGAAATCCTTCTTATAATATCCAGGAAGTGTCCAGAAAAGAGAAAACATGCTTCATTTCCCTCTGTCCAATATCACTGCACCGATCCCCAAATATAACAACCCAGGAAGTGATAGCACATCATGTCCTAGTGACACTCTCCAAAATTTTTAATGGACTTTATCCTTTACATCAGGAACTGTCCCTTATTACAGCTTCAAGCAAAGTAAAGTAGATATAATCCGATTTTAGTATTTGTGTATATCTTTAATTATTTTATGTTCTGCATAGAATACTTGCTGTGTATATGTTGTGCTCCACCCTGACTCCTCTTCGAGGGGAGAAAGGTGGAATATAAATGTTTCAAATAAATAATAAAATAATAAACTATTTTCAGTGTGTGTGTGAGAGAGAAAAAGGTTGGAGGGGGGGGGGCAATCTCCACTGTGAAATAAATGAAGTTTTATAGCACTTTAACTGCCATGGCTCAACGCTATGTTAATTCTGCAGTGTAGATGCATCTCAAGAAACCTTGAAGTTCTGCCATCTTGTAAATATAAGTAACATGAAAGTGGTGCAGTATATTTAACAGAAATAGTCTTACTACACATAGCTTCAATATTATTTGAGGACATGCTGGGAAACATTTGCTTCCCGCCATTGACATGATCTTGCCCATCCTTGCTTCTTGGCTATTGCGAAAAAATTTAAAATACTATTCTTTGTGAGTTTCCTATGACTCTTAACATAATAAACACTGACTGCCTGCGGAAGTCACGTTCATGATCTTTCAAACTCTGGATTATTCCAAACCTTCTCCCTTTATTTTTCTTTTTTCTTTTGTTTTTTGTTATTAAAATGTGTTGTCAAATTATTAAATATCCTTTTTGTGTATACATAAGAAATTTTGTTGTCTCGATATTCTCCAATTCATTGTGTAAGATATAATGTAATAGATTAACTTTTTAAACATAAAATCCCCATGTTGGAATTTTCTTTTCTTCAAGGATTTTTTGAAGGGTTCCCAGCCTTTGTTGGACATTGAAGGGTCCTTTATCTGAAGATATCTTGTCAAAATGTCCATT